AAAAAGAAGGAAAGAAAAAACAAAGCCATAAGACAATAAATAAGAACAAAGAAATAAAAGAGATAATATAACTATTCTTTGGGAAAGGGTAGATGTTTTCCCTAACCACTGATACAGGGTCAGATATTTTGAAACCTCCTAATGGTTAAGGTAAGGATTGGAGTTGGTGTATCTGATCCTAGATCTGTGGTTAAAAACAGCTATTTTAGCTCAAGCATTAACATTCACCATAGAGTCCTCTTATATACACAGACCTCAGAGGAGGTCAGAGAGAGAGAGAGAGAGAGAGAATACAGCACAAAACCCCAAGGAAAAGAGAGATAGACAGAAACATAGATAGAAGGGGAGTGGTCTATTTGATTGGCAAGTCCAGAATCTTTGTGCGTGCATGTCTCCCTGCATGTGCTTGTGTGATTGTGTGTGTGTGTGTGTGTGTGTGTGTGTTATTTAATCGGCGAGTCCAGGATCTCTTCGTACTCTTCTCTCTGTTTCCTCCCACTTCCTCGAGAGGGGAGGAGCTTCACTGTAACAAGCCAACCCACGCTCGCCACCACCACCACACCCCCTATGACCTCACACACTGAGGGAACCAATGGGATCACAGCGATCTCCAGCATCATAGCGACCGGTACTTCCAGACCCTGAGTAGCCGACACCAAAGCTGGGTGAAGTCGGGTGAGGCCATGGGTCACCCCCACGAATCCCCCAGCGGAGCACACAGCTACCCCCAGGACGATGCACCAAGCCTGGAGACTGGCCGGCCACACTGGCCCCTGTTGGAGGAGAAGCATGGAGACTGCGGTGCTCAGACAGCCGGTCCAACTGACAGTGAACAGAGCGGTGCCGACACTGACCCGTTCCTTCAGAGAGCGGTACATCACTAGAGCCAGAGACATCCATAGTCCTGCTAGAACAGTCAGGGACCAGCCAAACGCTTCCCGCCAGAACTGGGCCGACTGTTGTGCCGGTGTCGCCCCATTGGGCATCCCCGCAATGGGCATCCCTGACCCGGTCCCGTTGTTGTTATCATCCAGCCCTGTCGGGTTAGGAACTAGCGCCAGACCCAGTCCTAACACGCCTGTCGCTACGGTGACCAGGTCCACCAATCCCAGCCGCTCGTCCAGGAGCAACAACGCCAGAGTGGCCGACAGGACGGTGGTCGCCAGGCGCCAGGTTGTCAACATGGCCTCGTCGTCGCCGAGGGAGACGAAGGATAAGGAGGAGTAAGCGCAGCAGAGGGAGAAGGAGTGAGTCACACCGTACAGGAGCAGCTTCCTCCGATAGCCCTTTGAGCCAAAGGCCGTCTCCGCCCGTTTCATTGGTACAGTCCCATAGAGCAGCTGGAGGATGGAGCGTACCAAGAGTAGAGTTAAGGGGGGAAGGTTAAAGCGTGAGGCGGCCAGGCGCGTCAGAACACACACACAGCCGTGAGCCAGACCCGCCCCGACTACACTGGCCCACGTGAGCCGAGACGCAGAGACAGACGCCTCGCCGAAACTCGCTAGCTGTTCCCCTACTCCCCCTCCTCCTCCTGCACCCTTCCCTCCCCCTCCTCCCTCCACTCCCCCCTCTCCTCCCCCCGTGGGAGGTCTAGGGGGTGTGTCTTTGTTTTTGTCCTTCCCTCCAAACAGAGCGCCGGCCTTTCCTGTCCACTTCCTGGTTCCTGTCAGCTGTTTCTTGTCCGAGGTCTCCTCCAGGAAGGAGCCGAAGTCCTCGAAGGAGGGAGCGTCATCGTAGCCCTCGTCTCCGGGCTGGGGGAAGTGTGTGTGTGTGTGGGGTGTGTGTGGGGCGTACTTGGCGGTGACGGTGTGAGGGTGGATCTTCACCCGTTTCTTGGAGCCGTCCAGGAGGTGAATGGATTCCATGGTTACTCACCTGTAGGGAGGATAGGTGAGGACAAAAGTTAGACACAGACACCGACACACACCCCTCAGACAGAAACAGAGTTGTTTAGCCTAATGGCATTGTCTTCCGACCGCATTGCCATGAACTAGCTATGAGTGCAGACGGAGTCGTTGCGCTATCTGACGTAAGACAAGGACCTAATGGCCCTCTTCTGTGTCTGCCAGGTGACTCAGTCAGTGGTTGTAATTCACTGTTCTGACGCAGAGGATGCTTCTGCAGTAAACAGTAGACATACACCTTCTACAATATACACAGACAGTAGACACACACCTAAGTAAATCTGTTTTATGGGACAGACTGGGTTTGAGCGCAGGTTGTCTTAGTGCGGGCTCCAGGACTGTGTTACCCATTGAGCTATGTATAGAAGGAGCTAATGCAGGTTTTCAGGTCTCAGGCATGGTTACTCACAGCAATCACTGACTGTTCTATAATAAGGACATAATGCTGTCTGGCTGGCTGGATGCTGACTAAAAAGATGCCTCGGAGTCTGTGTGGTGGTGTGGGCGCACGTGTCATCTTGTCATTGGGTGAGAGAGAGAGAGAGAGAGAGAGAGAGAGAGAGAGAGGATGAGTGTGTGTCTCGTCAAGGTTACAC